CGATTCCTGCATGTGGGGAGCCCCTTCCCCCCTAAAACGGAACAGCCCTCCGATAAGTCGGAAAGAAGTATACTCGGAGCAGTGGAATCTTTAATTAGGGTATTTAATAGAGTTTGATTTATTTGAAATAGATAAGATCTCGAATAATCAAGCTTCATGCTTGGTGGCGTGCACACCCAGCCTGGGTGATCAATAAGAAAGAACTAGGGGAAGGGCCTGCCACTAAAGCTGCAAGCGAGCAGAGACATGAACCAGTACCATTGTTTTCTCATTAGGTGGATAATGCGTTCGTATTCCCAAGGGGATAGATTAGGATGCAGTCTTCCGTTGTAATTTTTTTTTTTTTTAATAATAGTCAAAATTTGCCCAATTGGGACGAAACTAGCAAAGCAGATGGTTTGTGATTTGGGGGGCGGATGGGAAGATTTAAGATGATTTGATCGTTAAACTTAAAGCGTTTGCTGGTTTGCTGGCGTTTCTGTTTAAATAAAACAGGCAGAAGAGAGGATGATGCAGGATAGGGAGGGGCACGTGGAGGAAAAATGCAAGATTGTAGCAGAGTTACGTTGTGAATAGTGTATCCGAATAGTCACAGATGTAATCCAAGTTGGTCACACTTCAAAGATTTAGAACTTCAGCTTTGGAAGTATTGATGAGTAGGAAGTTATAGTTAGTTATTTTGTATTTTTCTGCTATTGCTTATTCACCAGAACGGCTGTTAGTTCTTCTAATCTTTGTAGACACTGTAGAGTTTTAGTGTTTTAAAACTTGGGCGTGTAAGTGCACTTGAGACACTGAAACTTGGAAAGTTGACTGACTTGTCCCCAAGCCAAAGTGAATGGAAGGCAGAGCCAAAAAAAAAACACCATGACTGTTCTGCAAAATAAATATCCTTTTTGTGTGTGTCTCCTGCTGTGTTGACCTTACCCAGATTGATTGAGTCTTCTGCAACCTCTGGTCACATAGTGAGGAGAGAGTTGCACCACCAACCCACAGTTGAGCAGTTTGAACCCCTGCTTCACTGGAGGAAGATGGGGTCTCCTCTACCCCTAGAAGGGTCAGTGATGAGTCAGTTCCAGTTTAATGGATTGAGTTTGAGTGAAAATTTAGGGATACCTTCTTTTACATAGGAACTCTGGTGCTTATTCCATAGGGAGTTGCACTGCTAAACTAAAGGCATTTCTGGCATTTCCAGTCCACAGCAGCTCATTGGTATAAAGATGAGCAGCCCTCTTCCCTGCAAATTACTCCCTCTGAAATCCAGCAGAACATAACTTCGGCAATGACTCAATGACAGTGACTTGGAGTGTCTACTGCATGTCTGGTCTTTTTAAGAGTCTATTTGTGTTCATCTAGTCCTTTTTCCTTGTGATGTCGTCAGTTATTTCTTAAATACCTTAAAGACAAACTATTGCAAAGAATAACAATATTTTAATATTATTTAATGTTATTTGGTAGGATTTTACTGTGTGTGAACTATTTTTTAAAAACTGGTAGATAACGAAAATTTATGAAATATATCTATGATATATAGGTTAAAGTATTTTATACTATACATCCTTTTGATTAGTCCATGTTGGACTTTCTCAAAATTAATTTTATGCTTTTTGTTGGTTTGAATTTTCTGTTAATGCTATGAATTTTGTCTTAGAATTTTTATTCTTTATTTCCACATCACATTTTAATAAACCTTTTCTTTAGGCTATGTTGTTGTTGTTGTTATGTGACGTTGAGTCGCTTGCGACTCATAGCGACCCTATGTACCACAGCCCTAAACTCTGCTCTGTCCTGTGCCAATCACACTGCCTCTGACACACCTATCCCGATTACCCCAGTCACTGAATCAATCCACCTCATAGAGGGCTAGCCCCCTCCTGCGCTGTCCCTCCACCCTAGCAAGCATGATGTCCCTCCTCAAGGACTGCTCCCTCCTTACAACATGTCCAAAGTATGTCAGACGAAGCCCCAGAATCCTTGCCTCCAAGGAGCAGCCTGGTTTAACCGTCTCCAGGATGAATCTGTTTGTTTTCTTGGCAGTCCAGGGTACATTCAGTACTCTTCTCCAGCACCACAGCTCAGAGGCATCAATTCTCCTTCTATCCTCCCTAGTCATTGTCCAACTCTGCGATGCATAACAAGTGATACAGCAAAGGTCATGGCCTGTATCAGACGCACCTTAGTCTCCAGAGAGACACCATTGCTCTTCAGTACCCTGCAGAGGTCCCTAACAGCAGACTTGCCCATCGCAATACGTTTTTTCATTTCCTGGCTGCTGGTGCCAAGAGTGTTGACCATGGAGCCAAGCAAACGAAATTTGTTAACAATCTCAATCTCTTCACCATCCATCCTGATTGATACTTAATTTCATTTTATTAAAATGTATTGCTACGGGCCATCAAACAACCCTAACAACAGATCTGAACCTTACCCAGTCCAGCTCCATCCCCACAATCTCTGCCATGCTCAAGCTCTTACTGCAGTCAAGGTGTTAGTTCATCTCCTGAGGATCTTCCTCGCTTTTACTGACCCTCTGTCTTCCCAGCATACTGTCATTTTCCAAGAACTGGTCTCTTCTAACAGGAGTTCTGGCCTCTAAAGAGCACCCCAGTTACTCTTCTCCAAGAGAAATTGATTCTTTTGGCAGTTCATGCAATATTCTGTACTCTTCAACAGCAACATAGTAATACAAAGGCATCATTTCTTTTGTGGTCTTCCCTGTTCATTATCCAACTTTCAGATACATATTAAACAATTTAAATTGACTTGGTTCATGTGCACCTTGGTCTTTAAGCTGAAATCTGTATTTTGTTTGGTTTTGTTTTACCAATAGAAGAGAGCATTGGATTTCTTGACTGCAGTTACTATGGATGTTGATTATGGATCAAAGTAAAATGAAATCCTTGATAACTTCAATCTTTTCTCCGTCTATCAGGATGTTGCCTATTGATCTAGTAGTGAGGAATTTTGTTTTCTTGATGCTGAGATTTAACCCATATTTTGGGTTATATAATCTTTGATCTTCAGAAAGGTCTTCATCTCCTCTTCACTTTCTGTAAGCAAGGTTGTATCTTCCAAAACCAGCTTATATTTTTGGCAGTTCCATGCAGATGTACCATTCTAGCTGTTTTTGAATAATCTTCAAGATTTTATTTGCACATAAGATTAATATTAGGGAGCTCTGGTGGCCTAGTGGCAAGAAGCTGCACTGCAATCCCGAAGACATGCGATTTGAGGCCACCAGCTGCTCCACTGGAGAAAAATGGACAGTCTCCTCCTATGCGATTAACTGCCTCTGAAATCCTGCTGGAGAGTTTTCTATAGGTCAGTTCTGACACGATGGTAAACAACACAACAAGATTAATATGGTTTGATCATTTCTGCACTTTGTAGAATTAGCCCCCCCCCTTTTTTTTTAAATGAGAACAAATATGGATTTCTTCCTTTTACTTGGCCAGGTAGCTGTCTTCCAAATTTCTTGGCATAGACTAGTGAGCCCTAGGGCTGCATCTGTTTGTTGAAAAATGTCAGTTGGTATTCTATCAGTTCCTAGGGCCTTATTCTTTGCTAGTGCCTTCAGTGCTGCTTAGACTTCTTTCAGTACTATTGGTTCTTGATCTTTTGTTACTTCCTGAAAAGAATTGACGACTTCATTTTGGTACAGTGACTCTGTATATTAATTCCATAGTTTCTTGATGCTTCCTACACCATTCAAAACTTTGCCCACAGAGTCCTTCCGTATTACAGGTGGAGATTTGAGTTTGTTCTTTAGTTGTTTCAGCTTGAGAAATGCTGACTCTAGTCTTCCTTTTTGCGTTTCTAACTCTAGTTCTTTGCACATTTCATTATAATGCTTTGCTTTGCCTTCTTGTACTGCCCTTTGGAATATTCTGTTCAACTCTCTTACTTCAGCATTTCTTCCCTTTGTTTGGCTTCTTTATGTCTGTTGAAAATTTTAGAGTGTCTTCTGTCATCCATTTTTTTTCTTTCTTCCCTGTCTTTATAATGACCTTTTACTTTCTTCATTGATGATGTCCTTAGTGCCAACCCACAACTTAAGCATTCAGTGTATCAAATCTACTTTAAAAAATAACCCATAATTACAAAAACAAAAACAAGCCCATAATTAAAGTCAGTATATGGAATTATACTAACTTGGACTTTTAGTATGTTTCACTGATAAATTTCATGGTGTTTAAGGATATTTTATATAATCCAGTCCAGGCTGCACAACAGCAGAGGCCTGAGATGTTGACATATAGGCTTTAGGACCCAGCACTGGTCAACCTTGGATAGGGAGGTTGGAGGCCACCTGCACACTGACCACCTGCCCTCCCTCCTGCTGGTGACCATCCCTGTCTTCGTCTGCAACTTTTGGAGCTTCTCCCTGTGGCCAGGCCTGGAGGAGCACTGAGGTGACCTTTGAAGGGAGGCCTTGAGAAGAATCATGGTCTTTTGTCTTCTTCTCTTGATGGACTTGCACAAGAAATAGCTAGATCAGAAAGAGGTTAACAGCAGCCAGCTGTGAGCTAGCCATCTCTGGGGAAGAGAAGAGAGGATACTAAGGTTAAACATGTAGAGCACCATATTGTATCAGAAAGCAGTTACGTATCATTTAAAGGAACAACATGCAGAGCTTTGTCAGGAGTTTCTTTAATAGAAGGCTCAATTTCAGGAATGGAAAGAACAATACCTTGTACAAAAGTTAGACTTGTAAAAAAAAAAACAAACCCATTAGATTTTTCAGTGTGTACAATAAATCAAGACATGAGCATAGCATGCAAATTTTTTAATAATCAAGAAATATAAAAATATGAAAATCAAGAGACCCACAAGATTCCATCAAGACATGAGACTAAATAATGTTTAAGAGATAATGAAAGTAGCCAAGAACTCTTTCATCAAGGACCTGCCAACGTGGGCCACATTCACATCCAAACTGTGAAGAAGGTGGCAGGGTCATTATGGACAAATAGTAGACGAGACTGAGTAATGACTTCCACATGAACAAGTGTGTGTTTGAGGAGATCACCATTATTGCCTGCCAGAAGCTCCAGAACAAGATAGCAGGCTGTGTCAGACATCTGATGAAGCAGATTCAGAGAGGGCTTGTGAGAGGCATCTCCATTAAGCTGCAGAAGGAGGAGATAGAAAGGAGAGATAATTATGCACTAGAGGTTTCAGCTCTGGATCAGGAGATCATTGAAGTAGATCCCGATACTAAGGAAATACTGAAGCTCTTGGACTTTGGCAGCCTGTCCAAACTGCAGGTCACTCAGCCCACAGTTCGGATGAATTTCAAAACACTATGTGGCACCGTTTAAGTCTTGTCTGCTCTGCTGTAATATTTTCAATAAAGTTGGACACACACACACACACACACACACACACACACACACAAAGTAGCTGAGACAGCTGCAGATAAGAATGAAGAACTCTCAGTCAACTAGCATGCCTCGAATGGAGAAGAGGGGTCATTGCAAAGTTAAAGATCCTCTGGCTTCTTTAAGAAGCCCCCTTTCCAGTTTCTCAATGTGAAAATAATCAATCTCCTACCTTCCAGCTGAATAGCAACTCAAATACAACTCTAGATACACATATTAACCAAAATGGAGACCCTGAAAATTATCTTTGAGCCTTTTCTGCCTTAAATCTAGCCTCAAATTTGGAGACTAAACCTAGATGCCAAAGAGATAAACCAGACTACTTAATAAAATGATGAACAACAAGAACTTCATATAGGTCTATGAAAAGCATCATTTCGGTGATGTCCTTTAAGTCTTAAAGGAAAATCCAGAAAATCTAATAGTACTATAAAATGGAACCATTTCTACTTGCTTTTTTACTTTTGTTGTAAAGATTTATTGACATAAATGAAAGCATTAATGGTGCAAGGTACCCATGTGCTTGAACATTTTCATATTATCAAAGCAGAGACTTTTTGTTACGGTAGAGTTGTGCTAGAACTTAAGTAAACAAAGCAAAAATCTTTGCTTTTAAAGCAAACTCATGCATATTTTTTGGGAGCTTTAGTGGTCTAGTGGGTAGTGAGTTGTGCTGCCAATCCAAAGGGAGGTTTTTGGAATCCACCCGCTGAAGAAAGCAAGAGAGATGGGCAGTCAATTTCCATGAGATTTACAGCCCCTGAAAACCACCTGGAGGGTCAGCTAAGAGTTGGTTCTGATTTGACAGCATTTAACAGCAGCAGCAATGCATATTTTAAATGTTAATGAGCCAGAAACTTCAGAAATATGGAAATACGGCGTTGGGGGGCATTATGGCTGTAGTAATTTGCTTTGTTGACCGTGAGAACAGTCAGTCAGCCAATACCTTTTTAAAAATTTATTATTCTTTTTGTGTGTACCGCCAAACTGGATCTGACTGGTACAGCAGGAGATTACCCCTCCTTCTCCAGCAGAGCATCTGTTGGATTTGAACCACGTACCTCTGGGATTGCAGTGCAGCTTCTTGCCACAAGGCCACCTGAGCTCCCTCAGCCAAAACCTTTTTATATATTAGTATAAAATTCATATACAGTTCTCCTTAATCCAGTGAGCTTTTCTTTTGTATCTTCCCTTCATTTTATGTGTTTGGGGGTTATTCATAAAAAAGAGGGAAAGGGGGTATGGAAGCTAGACACTGAACAGCATTGTCTTCCCCTGCCCCGTAAATGAGACAGGCAGTGTATAGGTGGCTGTCATTTTGAACCATAGAATATTAGAATTGGAGGGGACTTAGAATCTGTTATTCTGAACTCTAGAATGTTAGAATTGGAGGGGTCATAGACTAGCCCTTCAAGCTTACTGCTCCATAAATACTCCTTTGGTGAAACCCCTTGCTGGCAAGTTGATGAGGACTTCTGGTGGCCCCAGGACAGAAAGACAGCACCATGTGGTTTTCAGAGCTACTTCCCTCCCCTCCCCCAGGTTGTTTGGAATGTCAGTCTACTGATTTCTCCATGTAATATCATTGACATTACATTCTTTGAGTACTGCAACCACTCTCACATTTTTCCCGGAGTTTTCCTCTCTTCCTGACAACGAGTCACTGCCTGCCTTTTTCCTGCCTAATCTTTCTAGCTGTTGTTGTTGTTGTTATGTGCTGTTGAGTTGCTTGCGACCCATAGCGATCCTGTGTACAACAGCCCTAAACTCTGCTCTGTCCTGTGCCAATCACACTGTCACTGACACTCCCATCCCAATTATCCCTGTCACTGAATCAATCCACCTCATAGAGGGCCTTCCTCTCCTGCGCTGTCCCTCCACCCTCCCAAGCATGATATCCTTCTCCAAGGACTGGTCTCTCCTCACAACATGTCCAAAGTATGTTAGAGCCTCAGAATCCTTGCCTCCAAGGAGCCACCCGGTTTAACCCTCTCCAGGACAAATCTGTTTGTTTTCCTAGCAGTCCATGGTATTCTCAATACTCTTCTCCAGCACCACAGCTCAAAGGCATCAATTCTCCTTCTATCCAACTTGGTCATTGTCCAACTCTCTGATGCATAACAAGTGATTGTGAAGACCATGGCCTGTATCAGATGCACCTTAGTCTCCAGAGAGACACCATTGCTCTTCAGTACTTTGGAGAGGTCCCTAACAGCAGACTTTCCCATGGCAATGCGCCTTTTAATTTCCTGGCTGCTGGTGCCAAGACTGTTGACTGTGGGGCCAAGCAAACTAAAGCTGTGTACAATCTCACTCTCTCAGTCATCCATCCTGATGCTGCCAATTAGTCCAGTGGTGAGAATCTTTGTCTTCTTGACATTGAGCCTCAATCCATATTGTAGGCTGCAGTCCTTGACACTCTGCAGCAGGCGCTTCAGGTCCTCTCCAGTTTCAGCAAGCAGGGTTGTGTCATCCACATAATGCAGGTTGTTGATAAATCGTCCACCATTCTTGACCTCACATTTCTCCTCATAGAGCCCAGCCTCCCGGATAATCTGTTCTGCATATAGGTTGAAAAGGTATGGAGATAGGATGCATGCCTGGCATATGCCCTTCCCAATTTTGAACCATGCAGTGTTCCCTTGCTCTGTTCTGACGACTGCCTCCTGGTCCAAGTATAAGTTTCTCATTAGAACGATCAAGTGTTCTGGGATTCCCATTCTTCTTGGAGTCAGCCATAGTTTGTTATGATCTACACAGTCAAATGCCTTTGCATAGTCAATGAAACACAGATAGACATTCCTCTGGTATTCCCTGCTTTCAGCCAAGATCTATCTAACATCAGCTACAATAACCCTAGTACCACAACCCCTTCTAAACCCAGCCTGGACTTCTGGTAGTTCTCTGTTGATGTGCTGTTCCAGCCATTTTGGCTAATCTTCAGTAAAATCTTGCTTGCATGTGAAATCAGTGAGATTGTTCTGTAGTTTCCACATTCTGTTGGGTCACCTTTCTTTGGGATAGGAACAAATATAGATCTCTTCCAGTCAGTTGGCCAAGTGGTTGTTCTCCAGATTTCTTGGCACAACTTGGTGAGCACACCCAGGGCAGCATCTGTTAGCTGAAATATGTCAATTGGTATACCATCTATTCCTGGAGCCTTATTTTTTGCCATTTCCTTCAAAGCAGCCTGAACTTCTTCTTTCATCACCATAGGCTCTTGCTCATATGTTGTTTCATGAAATTCTTCTGTGTCTTTCTAGCTGTAGCCATTTTAATCTCATTGCTCATATGTTGTTTCATGAAATTCTTCTGTGTCTTTCTAGCTGTAGCCATTTAAATCTCATACAGATAGTGGTTAAAGAGCACAGGGCTCAAAACAAGGCTTTTTTTTACTAGTTGAGCTAAACTATTGTTAACTGTAAAGAACACTACCATCCATTTCTTCTGGTCTCATGGCAAAGGAGGCATGTATTCATAGAGGCAGTTAGTTACACATTCTGTGTCCTCCTCATGCCTTTGATTCCTTCCTCTGTGACTCCAGGGGAGTACAGACACAGGCTGCTACATCTCTCCTGGGGTGGACCTTTCTGCCCATCTTTTCCTTAGAAATATGATGCTTACCTGATGCACCACCAAGGCATTCAAGGAGTGTATGGGAATCCATTTAGCTTTCAGAAGTAAAATAAAGCTTACATAAATTGAGCTACTAAATTCTTCTGTAAATTACATGTTAACACTTACAGATGTGTTGGTTGTTTCCTTTACCATTGCCGTCCAGGTCCACTTGATCCAGTCAGGTTTGCAGGTACATTGCTTTTTGTTCTGCTCCAGTTTCCATATTTACTTTTGTGTTGTAGTCTGTATGCAGAGTGTAGAGAACTGTATCACTTTCTCTGTACATGCACTTGTCTTACAATTCAGAATTGTGGTACCTATTTGGTAGTTGTGCCTTTCCAATTCTAGACACAACAACAACAAAAAAGAGAGAAATGTTCCTTTTCTTTTGAAATGGTCTTTATGCAAGTCTAGAGATTATTCTTTAGTTTGAAATTCTGTATTACTACTTCTATAATGTTAAAATGGCCTTTCTTTTTAAAATTGGTAATATAGTAAGTGGTGAATTTTTCTGTTACTGGTTTTAGAATTCTGTTAGTCAATACTAAATTGACTGCAAAATCATTTGACACTGTGGATCACAGAATGGAAATCCCAGGACACTTGATTTTCAAATTTTCATTGGTTAATTAAATATACATGTTGTTTTTGTTGTTGTTAAGTGCCATCAAGTCACCTGCGAATCAGAGTGATCCTATGTACAACAGCTCTGAACCTTTCTCTATCCTGAGGCAACCTTATTGTCTCTGACACACCTAACACCATTACCCAAGTCACTGAGTCAATCAGGTTCTTCCTCTCTTCCCTTGCAGTGTCCCTCCACCCTCCCAAGCATGATGTCTGGTCTCTCCTTGCAACATGCTCAAAGTATGTCAGACAGAGCTTCAGAATCCTTGACTCCAAGGAGCAGCCTGGTTTCACCCTCTTCTGGGCAAACCTGTTTGGTCTCCTAGCAGTTCATTATGTTCAGTACTCTTCTCTAGCATCACAGCTCAAAGGCATCACTTCTCCTTATATCATTGTAAAGAAAAATAAAGGAAGGAAGTGATGAAGGACTACTGTTTTTACATTCCTTTTTAAACAGTCACTATTCTGGTTCTATAGTCCTCAGAGACTTGCCCTGCTAATCAAAAAGCAACATCTCTCTTACAAGTGGAATCTGCCAGTGGTTTCTGAGGCAAAAGATGGACAATTTCGAAACTTCATGTACTGTGCAGCCTTTGAAGCCCAAGGGAGGGATGGATGTGAGTTGATTCAGACTCAATGGCAATGAGTTTTTTGAGTATTCACATGGTTTTTAAAAAAATTCAAATAACGTTCTT